AACAGTAGAGGATTTGTGTCTATATGTAGGAGTATTCAGTTTTCTAAATCTAAATGTACAGTTTTATATCTTTATGCTGTTTGTATAAAGGGAAAATGATAACTTCACAACCCACCTTTGCACACATAAATTGCACACTCAACCTATTCAGTCTTTGAATTTACATTCATATATAATTCAGTTTATTGTCTTTTGAGATAATAACAAAAAGTGCTTCGTCATTGCACGTGTGAATAAATCAATGGAATATGAAAAACCTGTTTTTCCCCGAATGAGGAAGGGGGATGCGACCTCATCCCTCGTCTCACAGCTCTGCCGCTGTCTGAGCTCAGTGATTGGCGGAAATGCGTGAGTGACGTAACGTGTGTCGCGAGCTCCGGCAAGGGTATAAAACCACGGAGCGAGACGTTTACCATTCACACCAGGGAAAGAAACCACAAGGAGTTCTTGCTTCAACAGTGTTTGAACGGAACTTCTTCCTTTGTCCCGCGTACTACTTCTTCTACTCTGCATTCCGGACACGACAAACCTTTATTACTTGAACACTACCGAGAAAGTCTCCGTTAAGCTATTTTTTTGTACCGTTTTGCGAAGAAAACAAGAGAAGAAACCCGCAAGAAACGCCAGCTACAATGGAGTCTCAGGTCCGTCAGAACTACCACCGCGACTGCGAGGCCGCCGTGAACCGGATGGTCAACATGGAGCTGTTCGCCTCTTACACCTACACTTCCATGGTGAGAAGAACACTTCAATTTATTGTATCTTTGTAGTATGTATAAATGTATGCTAAGTATCTGCATCTATTGTATGTCTTGATATAAAAAAACAACATTGGCTGTTAAAAGAAGAAATATAAAATACAATTGTCATTAAATTGATTGTGTTTTATAAGTAATGCAGTATGGCAGCACTGTTTCTCTGCATCTCTCACTTGTTTATCTGATGGTTGCCAGATAAGGAGTGTTTTATCCCCCACTCACCACATTGAGTGAAACATGCTGAGTCATGTTTATGCTGTTTTTTTTTTTTTTGTTTTTTTTACTTCTTCAAACATGACGCTGGTCTGTGTCCAAACCGACTAGACTCTTCAAAATCATGACTCATGTGTTGTTGGGTCCATAACTTTTGGACACTGGGAGAAATCCCCCCCTCCTTCCTGCAGCCATGTGCTCTCAATCGCCTCCAAAACACAACAGCAGGTTTAAGTCAAAATCAAATGGATTTATTATCCAAGAAGCATAAAAACGGATACAAACCGAATCACACTATTAATTTCATAACAAACATAAAATGAAAGTGAGGCCCTGTCCGGGCCACACGATCTCTCTCTCTCTCTCTCTCTCTTTTTCTCCCCCCAAGATCCTTTGTCCCTCCAAAGTTACATCTCTCAGCACATTGATCACCTCACTGATTGGCTGAAGTCCAATAAGCCCCTCCTTGGCCCATTGTCCTAAACTTCACACCTCACCCAGCCACTTTCCAACCCCTCTTGGTCAAAACTTCCCAAAGTAAATGCATTGTAACATAATTCCATAATTAGGAGTTTAAAAACTTAAATTCCTCACAGTGCCTGAGCACTACTTTGCTGCATAACTACTGTTTGGCACAACCTTTTTTTTTTTTGATTAATAATGGGTGAAATCTGCTAATCACAGTCCTAACCTCCGCTCTTCCTCCCCTCTTGTCCCTTGTTTACAGGCCTTTTACTTCTCCCGTGACGATGTGGCCCTCGAAGGCTTCGCCCATTTCTTCAAGGAGAACAGCGACGAGGAGAGGGAGCACGCCCAGAAGCTGCTGGCCTTCCAGAACAACAGGGGAGGACGCATCTTCCTCCAGGACCTGAAGGTCGGTACACACTGGAGGACTGGCCCCGTTGAGACGTGTCTTGCAGCGCCCTGTCTGTCTAGGACAAATAAACTGGGATTAACCTGCAGCAGTGGGACACTCGGTCCCTCCCATTTACCACCAATTATCATCATGACCGTTCAGTCCGCTATAATTAAATGTTTTTCCCTCCGTAGAAACCAGACCGTGATGAGTGGGGCAGCGGGCTGGAGGCCATGCAGTGTGCCCTGCAGCTGGAGAAGAACGTCAACCAGGCCCTGCTGGACCTGCACAAACTGGCTTCTGACAACGTAGACCCTCATGTAAGTGTGAATTAGTGCCGTGAGGTCTGCCAAAGACGGTCCCGGCTACACCACAAACTCGTGTGCTCTAGCATTCGTCTGTACGCGTAGTAATCTCTCTCTCTCGTCTCCGTTCCTCAGATGTGCGACTTCCTGGAGACCCACTACCTGAACGAGCAGGTGGAGGCCATCAAGAAGCTGGGCGACTACATCTCCAACCTCTCCCGCATGGACGCCAACAAAAACAAGATGGCGGAGTACCTGTTCGACAAGCACACCCTGGGGGCAAAGAGCTAAATATGCAAAGTCTCAGGGTTGAGCCTGGAGGGAAGATGTGGCACACAGGCTTTAAACGCACCCTTCTGCTCCAGTGAGCGTGAATTTAAATCTAATCTGCTTGACCTGTGGAGTTGATGAGTTCTGGTGGTGTCGCTGGGTTTTTTTAAATGTCATTTAAGGATAGATATTTATAAGGTGATGACTTTGCCCTCATTACCTATAAATCTCCTCTTGTGTGACATTTGAATGACTGTTTCTGATCTGTTCTTAATCTGAATAAACATGTTGAGCTGGACTCTGTTGTCTGATCTGCATCTGTTACGCACCCTTTTCATATTGACTTAAAAGCTGTTATGTTTACAC